GGTTTGATAAAGAGTACATTTATATACATGTTTAAGCCCGAATGATTTGACATTTAAATATTACTTCCCTACGACTTTAAAATATCAGAACCATCAAATTGACGGCCTTGGGAGTTCTAGTGCTTCATATTGCTTTCCCAGCCAGCAGGGGGCTCTGGTGGCGCCGTCGTTTACAGCCAGGGGCGCCGATGTTTAACCGAAAACATGGAGGTTCTAACCCGAGGCTCGGTGTGTCGTCAGCATTTAACCATGAAACTGAGCCAAACGTTTCTCTCTGATGTTCTGACGGTGATCCGGTGGTCCAGGTGCTTCATGATGAGCAGATGGAAGATAATAATCAGGCAGAGCCGCGGCAGACACCAGGGTGTGACTCATAGCAGCAGTAATTATCACAGCAAAGACGCTTCAGAGCCGACTCGCTGCTCATCGCCCTGAAGAACAACTTAGCTCCAAGCTAAGACCCGCCTCAGGACACTCCAGCTAATCCAACAGCCACAAACCTTCAGAACCGCTCTCAGACCAGATAAGGCTTCAGGTCAGAGGTCAAGAAGCACTCTACAAACCATGAGCAGGGTGTTTAGTTTTGGTTCCAGCCTGGAACCAGATCTCTGAGGACCCAGAATCCAGTAAGCAGGAAGGAAAGCTTTTATTAGAGCCCAGAACTGCTCAGATCAGGCGGTTCTGAGGGAGGAGGCCGGTACTGGATCTCCTCTAAGGGAGAACCAGGAGAAAATGTTATGGAGAATGTGTCACAAGAAGACAACAGCGGTTCGAGCAGGCTTTGTTTCTCTGGGATTCAGAAGCCCTGCTGCTGGTTTTACTGGGTCGAACTCTGCTTGCAGTCCTGGTGTTACTGGATCCTTGGAGCCAGAGCAGTCTGGATGGAGGGAGGAGGAGGAGGAGGAGGAGGAGGAGGAGGAAGGGCGGCTGGCTTGTTTTGTCTGAAACACAGGAAAGGGGCTGGGTTAACTAAAGCCAGACAGTGTGTGTGTTTTATGTGGGTGTGTGTGTTTGAAGGGGGGGGGACTCGTCGACTCGTCTCCTTGATCTCACACCACAGAGTTTCCACGTTGTAAGAAACTCCGCCTGGTTCAAGGCTGAAGTTTCCACATGCCGCCGTTTGATCCAGAGCAAACCGGTTCTGGTTCCTTTCAGAGCCGGGTCACAGAGGAAACTCCAGCCCGAGTCGGATGGACGGTTTTAACTGTGTCCCTGTCCCCCGTGCGCAGTGTTGTGTCTGCTGCGTTCCCTCCCTGCCCTTCACCTGTGCACACACAGCGCTCTGCATCATCCCCGACCCGCTTCGCATTCACACCGACTCACATGCGTGGCGTGGGACATGGACGCCGCCTCTCTCCTCTCTGAGGGGCTTCAGGGTCCCGTGAGACGACCCAAACGCAGCAGCCCAGTATCCTGCCCTCAGATCGGTCCAGACTGTCGAAGAAAACCAGACAGTCTGAGTCAGAACCCGTTCTGGTTCTGACCTAAATGGGTTGGGTTCATAACAGCTGTGCTACCTCAGTTCTTTTTTAGTCAAAGCGTGGGGGAAAAAGTTAGCTACTCAGGTAAATTACTTTTTACAGGAAAACAAGTTTCTGTACATTTTGCTCCACAGAAACATTTTAGTTAAAATCCAAAGACATGTTGATGGCTGCTGGTTCTGGAACCACGATATTTGTTCCTGGGGGGCCCCATAAAACTCCTTTAAGTTGTCTGGTTAATACAACTATTCCTTATTTCTGCACATTTATTATGTTTTTGATAAAAATCCTTTCGGTAAAATGTCATCAGAACGCTTATAACATTAAAGGTACACTAT